CAATATGAATGTTACCTTTATGTGAGGTCTACTCACTTTTTAAAAAGCAAACAGCACTTCATTGAATGGTGGATTAGCAACAAGAAACTTCACTAGGTAAGAGTATTTTAAGAATGAATTTGAAAGCAGAGAGGATGAGCACTCCTTGCTGCCCAAGATTTGGCACAGCATATTACCACAGATGCTGAAAATACTACTTAGGTATTTTAAAATTAATAGGAGTTATGCACCTATATACCTTGAGAATCTGGGCCAATTAGCACTAGGAGCTTCAGAGAAAGCAAGGACAGCATAAAGGGACCAATTCTGATTTCTCATACAATGGGGTAAACCATAAATAAACTACCTGAAAGTGTTTATCCTTGTATAAACAAGCAGTTAGATCAGAATCAGGCCCTGGAGGAGTGATTGTGGAGAAAGGTGTTGATATAACATAGGTAAAGAGAAGGAGTGTTTGAAAAAATAAAAAACAAAAACAACCCAGAAAGAAAGCATGGAACAGTGTTATTAAAGGAGACTGATTTATGGGTCACATAAATGGAGAGGACAGGTAGCTTAAACTTGATAGAGAAAGAATGCTAGAGGCCCTGGACAGATTGAAAAGGTGAGAGGAATATCCACAAGTCTATTAAATGCCACATTAAAAATACATTCAAATAGTAATGTGGGTCCAATACTGCATTCATTTACATGGGTAGAAGTCGTAATGGTTTTCTGCCTAAGCAAGGTTAGAATTTTGGCCAAAGGGTCTAATTTAAACCAACAAAAGGAGGAAAATGCAAAGTTAAGCATTGTAAATTATTTTTCTTCTGCTATTGAATTGTGCCTACAACATTTTCCAAACAAGTACGGGAGAAAATTCTACTATGATTCTCAACAAACTAAAAGTTCTGGGGCTCTTCTATAGTTTTGTGTGTTAAAAAGCTAGAGGTCTATCAGTCTTCTGTGTTAGAGAGCCTCTCTCAAAAGAGGTTTACGTTTGACATTAAATTGGAAAATAGCACCAGCTATCTGAATCATCTGAAAAAAGAGGAAATGTTGATAACTAACTGTAGCTGGAGTACTTATGCCCCCAAGTGTCATTACTAGATGTTTTAGTAGATGAAATGTTACACATCTGCAAACCAGTTTAGATCTACAATTCCTTCTGTGGTGAACTGTCACCACTGAATGAAAGTTGGCAAAGAGGCCAATAGAAAGGAAAGTTTGCATTGGTTATGTTCTGGGCTTATCACAGAAAAGAGGCAAGGTATAATGGCAATATGAAAATAAATATCCCAGTGGTCGGAATATGTGAGAGAGGTAGTTTGAAGTCAGGCATCTGATGAAGTAAGTCCACTGCTTATAAAAGTTTATGCTATGCAACTCTGTTTTAGTCTTTAAGGTGCAAATCTATCCTGCCTTCTGCCTAAGAGATTTGAATCAGCTTCCTTTTTTAGGGACAGAATGATAGTGGCTATCACTGTTATCTTGAACGTGAGCTTGTGGGTGAAGAAACTGAGCTTCTTTAAATCCAAGATGGGCTGTCATTACCTTTTCTGTGCTGGAACCAAGCAATAACTGCTGCAAACCCCTTCCCTCTGGGCACGTCTATATGAGATGCTGACTGCACAGTAGCCCGATACTACTGCGCAGTAGCACTGCAAGGCAAAAATCATGATACGATGCTACTGCGCAGTAGCGTCATTTAAAAGGCATCACTTAAAAGGAAGACCCTCTGCAACTAAGAGGCCTGTAACAGGGAACCCTAGCCCTGTCACCTGAATACAGGCCCGCTCCTTTAAGGCCCGAACTTTCTGGACACGGAGTACTAGTGAGGAAGCGGTTAAAGGCTGAACTTGGTCAGCTAGTCAGCTGACTGGGAGGGGCAGGCCAGGACTATAAAAACCCCGGGCAGAGTGGCAGTGGAGCCCAGCAGCCAAGGGGAAAGGAGTGCATCTCAGAGCTCCAGGGAGAGGCTTGGTGGGAAGTCCAAAGCCAGGAAGAGGGGAACTATAGAAGCCCTGGAGAGATGTCAGCCGCACTGCAGCAAGGACTAGAGCTGATGGTGGGGAGCTGAAGCACAAACCCTGCAAATGTAAGCTGACATACGGCTTTCCTTACTCATATTTTTTGGGTGGCAGATATTGCCCATGGATAGGACTGTTTATTTTTTTTCTTTTGGTTATTGAATAATACCAGGTTTTGGTTGAGGCTATGAGGGGAAGGAGGAGGCCTCATTTTTGGGGCCCTCTATGGAGTGGAGACCCCGGCGCCAGCGAGGGTGCAGTTTTTGGGGGGTACATAGACCCCAGTGCTAGTGGGGGCGCAGGATTTTTGGGGTGCACTGATCCTGGCACCTGAAGACACGATCTTAAAAAGGTTGGGGAGTTCTGGTGGACCTGGGGTGCAATTTTATTTATTTATTTTTGGTTGGACTGGGAGAGTGCGAGTTCAGGGCCGTCCCCTGGTTGTAGGGCCGGTGGCTGGACCTCTGGGCCAGGGCTCCAGATTGGAGCAGGAAAGGGGGCCACGAGCCTCAAGACACCGGAAAACGCTAGAGCCTCAGAGTCAAACCCTTTTTGGTGGGTTTAGATGGGGAGGCCTAGCTAGAGAAAGACAGGGGTCAGGCCCACGTAGGCAAAAGGCCCCAACATACAAAAAACCCAAAACAATATGCAGTCTCCCGCTCATAGGAACATCATCATAATAATTTTCCATCAAGACGTGGCAGGCGAGAAGAGGGCGGGACATAAGAACTTCAAGGAAGACTCCAAGGGCGCCCCACGTAAGGCGCGAATTACCAGAGAAGATGGCGCTGGGGAGGGCAACCTGTTACAAGGCCACATCTACATGAGATGCTACTGAGCCGTAACTCGGGTTTATACAAATACTAAATAAATGTGCAGTAACCACTGCACAATAGTAGCTCATGTAGACATGGCCTTTGAGTTGCAGAGGATTTTCCTTTATGGTCCAGGGGACTAGCATGGAGGAGAGTTTCTATTTCAGCAACATCTTGTGAGAGGCTGCTGAAAAGGGACAAAAAGTGGGGATGGGAAGTGAGCCATGAGCTTAATTATACTTCTATAAATCAGCTGTGATGGTACCTAAATTTCTCCTAACAGTGGTGATCTGGGTCTGTGTCAGTTGGCAGTGAAAGGAAAGGAAGGGGGTGGTAAAGCCTCAGCTTGACTGACTGTATCTGAAAAGTAGAATTTCTACTGTATTCTGTGCCTTCTTTGGAAGCCCAGAGCATGTCTACATGGCCAACAAGGCTTGATAAGTGACCACTTGAAAAGTGAAGGCTAACAGGAGTATGACTACCTTTCACCATCAGTTCACTCTTTTTTTTTTTTTTTTTAAAGCTTCTTTTCCTGAGGAACACTGTGGCACTGTTTTGCTTTTTCAATACCTGCAGCAGTTCATCTGCTTCCTACTATCAGCTCCACTGCCTCTTATGACAGCATCTCTGTTCCTGACATAGTACAAGGCAAGCAATATGTTAGGGGAGCATCAGGGCAGTAGAGGGGATATGTCAGGAAGAGGCTTACCTTCTCAATTCTCTGTTGACTTGGGACCTTATGACAACATAAATTGCAGCTATTTCTCTGCCATTTACACCGCCACTAGGTACCTGAGAATCAGGGAGGCATTATCAACTCCTTGTTTGCCCTGCCTTAAGTACTGCAATCCATTGTTGTTCAAAACCTGAAGAGAATCAAACCCAATGGAATGGTGGAAGTGAAAGTAAGATTCTTTCCCAAGCCTCTAAATTAGTTGCGACTCTCAGCTTGGCTACGTTTAAGTCTTCCACTGAAAAGGCTATGCTAAAAAGAGAGAGAGGAGGAGGAAAAGGAGAAAATAGAGATAAAAAGAAAAAAAAAATCAGGGGGTGAGGATATAAATAAGTACAAAATATGAAATGAATTTCCTAAATGTATGACATTTCCATCACATTCTTTGATGCATACTTAGAAAAGTTTATCGCAGTATACACATCTTTCTAATTAGATGGAACAAGCCAGATGATTAGAGCTGTGGAAAAAACATCAAAAGGTTCACACAACTTTTTATATAATTAGAAAGAAATGTTCATATCCCATAAAAGAAGGATTTAATTGTGTAATTTAACATACAATTTAAATATCAAGATCAAACTAGCAGGGCAAGTGACTTAATGGGATAAACGATATTAACATCTAGTGTCAAAGCTTAATTTAAACAACAGAATGTCTTCATTATGCAAAAGGGTCAAACAAATGAGACTTTCAAAGAGCTTTTTTTTTAAACAAGCCCTTTTCTTATTGTTTCTTTGACAACAATGAAATCAGCTGTGCAGCAGCAACATGCTGAGAGACTAGGGAAGCACTACTGACTTTGTCCATCTGACCTCACTGTGACATTGTGGTGCAAGATCTTATAAAACAAGAGCCTCCTGCAGAGGTCTTTTAAGAACTGGTTAATTTTACTTTTGTAGCTAATTAAATGGGAGGGCCAGAGAGTGCACGAAATGTAAAACCCCTTAGGTTGACGTTGTAGCTTTGTTGTTTTAAAAGTAGCTGTAGAAGCGTTCATAATTTGTCACTTTTCACACAAACCTGAGAGGCAAACCAAAACCATTCAGGATCCCCAGGATATGGTCTGCTCTTGTATCCTGGCCTCTGCAGCTGCACTTAAAAGAATGGATTAGAAACATATAAGCTTATTAGAGTGAAAGATGACATCCACCCACATCAGGATACATGAAGAGGGGGAAAGTTCAAAAACATATAAATTAATTCCTGGAAAACATAAAACAACCTTTAGGTCATGGCAAGGAAAATGTCAGTGGCTCAAAAGATACTAGATTGCTATTGACCAGTTTCATGATGGCAAGGGGCAAGCCAAGTAGAATAGTGCCTTCACCAGTATGTGTCTAAGACTGCAAATGACACTGATCCTTTTTAATGTGCACAAAAGCTGACAACTAACTCATCCTGAGAACAGCAGTCATAAAGCCATCTACAAGAATGACTCACCATAAACAGGTCACGAGCACCTATGTCAACAGCTAGCAGAAATGCCTTTTCAAATCTCTGATACCTGCAAGAAAAGGTGAAATGTATCATTTGCTGAGGAGGACAACATCAAATTTAAGAGATCCATCAACCTGCTAATGTGCAAACAAAGTGATAGCTGTAAAAATGTGAGGTGTATTGTATCACTTTTGGGGGAAAAGTAAAATAGCAGCAACAGGGTGACGGGTGAACATTTCTGTGATAATACAGAGATTTCAAAACTATGAAATACAATAATAACCCTTGGCATTTTTATCTTCCAAAGACATCAGCAAATGCCCTGCCAATTACTGAGCAACATCAGAGCTAGTCAACTTAAATGGGAATGGAAGGTGTTTAGCATTGTGCTGGATCCCTTCCAGTCCAGTATGCACAGACCTCCAAATGTACTGAGAGTTCTCTGCAGGGTCTCATGGAGAGGAGACCAGTGTTTCTCTTCTGCTTGGAAGAAGAGGGGAGATCCTTAAGGAAAGTGTGGATCCAGCTGTACTATCTTTCTCATTATTCCCCTTTTATAGATGGGATAACATAAGCAGAGGGTGACCTGCCTGCCTACAAAGAAGAATCTAGTCAGTGCTGGGTTTAGAATCCTACATTTAACTCCCAGTTCTCAGACAACTAGGGCACAGGTTCTGGGACTATTTCATAGTGCGAATAACATCATAATAAAGAGAGAGCCTTCTAAACAAGAACATCTCTCATCTGTGATTATATATTTCTAGCCTGGGTCCAAGCATTGCTCTACCTAGGAAGGCCTTAGTGCTACAGTATCCTGGTGGAATGACTTGGCAGAAGGTAATACCAAGCCAACAAGCAAGGCCTTTCCTCAAAAGGATGTTTGTAACAAGAAACCAAAAAAAATTAACATTAGCAGAAAGGGAAATATATTCTCGTGTGGGGTTTCTGTGACCCCAGGTGGTATGAAATCCAACACCATCTGGGGTTGGGTGGAAGGTGGAATCCTACCTTCCTAAAGCCACTCTCCCTGCTGTGCCTTCTAAGCACTAATTTACAGTCCTTCCCCTGGGTGCCTGCATAAAAGGAGAGGGAGGAAGGTGGAGGGGGGCAGGGGGAGGAAGTCAGGCTGAAGTTAACCATTTGATCACCACCTACCAGGCAGTGCCTCATCCCTGTCTCACTTTGTATAAAGGATATTACATGAAAATACATGTAGTACGGTTGAAGGGTTGTTGTAGTCATGATGGTCCAGGGAATATCCAAGAGGCAAGGTTTCTTTAATGATAACTTGTATTGGACTAGCTGTATGGCGGGGAAAGCCATTGGACAAACTTTTGGGCATAGAGTGACCTTCTTCAGACATGTTGGTCCAACAAAAGATATCCCCCAAAATCCTTGCCTCATGAGACTACACTGAAGCTTAATGCTTCTTCTTAAGCAATGCTTTTTCAAGAGAAACACACACACACACACACACACGTACGTTACAGTAGCATGAGTATTACTGCCCTCATCTTTTATGAATTTTGCTTACAAACTAAATGACACTTTTTATTCCTTATCAGATTTTTCACATATAGAAAAAAATACCACGTCCTCCTTTCTTAGAAGGAATTTCAATAGGTCAGTGAAACATGCAGTGCAATGCTCCAACAAGAAGATGTCTACACCATGGCTTTGTTTTTATCTGGCAACTACTAAAGAAACAATTTGAAAAAAAAATCTGCTCCAGCCAAGGCAATACTAGCAACCAAAAATGTAAAATAACTTTTTCCTTTGATTGACCTGCAGAACGGAACCATGGCCTTAAAGCTGTCAGTTTCTTTCTGTCTCCCAACGATTTCAATTTTTTCCTTTAATCAACCTACATACTTCAGTTTCATTATGGCCCTATTCATAAAACCGTAAAGCCAGCTCATTATTTCCAGAGCTGTACTGGGGGAAAAAAAGTCTACCAAAGAAATGCTCTTCACAAACCAAGAGAGCTGAAATAACAATCACAAAGACTTCATAAATTACTACAAATAGCATTCTTTAAAATGAGGTGCTGTTTTCAAATGCAAGTGACAAGCTTGCATTACTTATGCAAACAATATTAAATCAATGAAGAATATGTGCATTTTTCTGGGCATTCTTACATTAGTTTTATTTGAAAACATTTAGTTTAAGTCTCTTTGACACAGAATAATGTATTTTCATCTTATAGGAACATTTAGAGAGTGCCCGGTATGATGCATTATATGTAAAGGTGCCTTCAAACTGATAATGTGAATTTTACAATAGGGTTTTGTCACAAGGAGACCTCTTATTTTGAGCACTCTTCTTTATAGGTATCGTATCATCCCTCAAATAACAAATAATGCACCTTTTGTTCTTATATTGCAATTACATGACACAATATTATTTTCTTTCAAATAGTACCAAAAATGTATCAGTCCTAAGTGAATATTCCCAAATCCTGTAATTTACTCTTTGCTTCAAAATAACTCTAGTAATCAAGACCTAGGTGTCTCTTGAAAAAGAGAGATAAGGAAATCTGCCTGTAAACCATAAAGCTGAGCCACTTGTTTGGTCAAAATTATTGCCAACAGAAATGTGACCTTCTAGATTAGAACTCTCAAACTGTGATTACCTATATATGACAAATTGTAAAGGATTACACTGGGAGCTGTTAATGGCATAGAATAACAAGTGTAAAACCCTATATAATAAAAATAATACCACTCCTATGCATTTATATAAGCACTCTCTCGCTATAACTCCCCTAGTATGATAAAAAGATGGGTATTATCACACCAACTTTGTAGATAGGAAACTGTGGCAGGGGAAGATTAAATGACTTGCAAAAGGTTTATAGAGGATAACTTAGAATACCAGGAGATCTGGGTTCTATCGGCCTGACTGGTGTGGTAGATCAAGCTGCCTGCCATACGTTAGCAATGTGGCAAACCAACAAAAGCAATAAAAGTTGTGTTTCTTATTCTTGCTTATATTTTATATCAGTGTAGCTCTCTTGTCATTAATGGGGTTATTTTTGGTCTGCACCAATTTAAGTGAGAGGAGAAGCGGGTACTCTGTGCCTTTAAGTTTATACATTATAGTGTTCAAAAAGCATGCGGCTTTAAATACAGTGAACTAAATTCATTTATTTGGATGTGAGCAGAGAAAGAAGTTCATCACTGAGTTTAATTGGGAGTTCTGCAGCTCCATTGGTGGGCAGAATTTGGTCAGGTATATCCTACGAAACCCAGCGCAGTGATTAAAAGATAGTAACTCATCCTTCCCTCAGAATTTCATGGCTCTGAAAATAGACAAAATTATTTTTTTTATTTGTAAAATACATACAGTTCATTCATGCATCTTGTAGGAGATCTAGTGTGGTCAGTTAAAAGAACCGAAAGGGGAGAAAAAACAGAGAGAGAGAGAGAGAGACACAGATAGAGAGGGTAACACACTAAGAAAAGGTGGAAACATTTCTTTAAGGACTAGTTACAACCAACAAGCCTTCTTAGACATGCCCACTGACCATGTAAGCATATTCCTGGTGCTGGGCTGATAAAGCAGGGCTGCTGCATTATTTTTTTTCTTGTCTTCAATAAGGGTACACAACATTTAGAAAATAATCTGTAGCAAGAGGGCTATGGCACAAATAATATTTATAAAACCAATCCTTTTAATTAAAGAAATCTTACAGCCTTCCTCATCTAGAAGTCCAATCAAGGATGATATGCGTTATAAAACCAAATATTTAAAAATGTACTGAGTAAGAACAATGGAAAAATGAATATTGAAAATAATTTACATGCAATCCAATCCCACTGAAATTAAGTTTTAATTGTTCAATATTCTGTGATGCATATGCAAACAACGCTTAAGTATTCAGAATGTCAATCAAGTGTTTACTTACATCAAGCAATTGTATTTAAGCATACAAAACAGATGATGAAAATATGTTCAATCAGCTATAACTCTCAACACTTACTGCAGGGTTTACATGATCACTTTTAATTCAGTTATTTCATTTAATATTTCAATTTAATAGCTCATTCTTTCATTTACTTTCTAGGCATTTTGCCCATTTCTTAAGCACAATAATATTAATTATTATTCATAAAAGAAGCAGTTTCCCATAAGTTCTCATATCAGCAATTTTTGGAACAGAAACTGTTTGCATGATTTTTCAAATTAACACTGCCTTTATCTACAGCATTTTTTTCTTTTAAAATTAGACAAAACTAAAAATGAAGAATTGTGTGTTTTAAAACACTGTTACTGCTATTAAAATGAGATATTGGGTACAGAGTAGTTAGAGAATGGGGGCAAGAATTTAAATTATAGTTTGCTAGCCACCTGAATAAACAGCTTTATTGGATACTGCTTGAGGCTCAATATTTTGAATGTTAGACTACTTATTTAGGCATGTAACTGTATATAAGTGTTTAATTTTAAGCAGCCATCTTTTAAAATCTTGGCCAAGGACTTTAGCACACTCAGGTTTTAAATTTAAAAAAGAAATCATGTCTGTACGTGTCATTTCCTCCCTGCTCCCAAGGAACTAAGGTAAAAAAGGAAGATGTAAAACAGCCCCTTTGCTTCAAGCAAAAGGAAACTTTTCAATGGAGCAATCACAAAGCAAACTTTATTAAAATTGTGCAAAAATGAATATGGCTAGCACATAAATGAGAATGCAGTACAGATAATGTATCATTAATACATCTAGATATACTTTATAAATCATAGGAAAGTAGGGCTGGAACGGAACTTGCAAGGTCATGTAGTCCAGTCCCCTGCTCAATGCAAGATCATCTTTGATTAAAACATCCCAGCCAAGTGCCAGTCCAATCTTATCCTGAAGACTTCCAAGGATGGAGATTCCACAATTTCTTTAGGTAGCCTGTTCCAATGCTTGGCCACCCTCATAGTCAGAAAGTTCCTTCAGCCTAAATTTCCTGTGCTGCAGCTTGAAGCCATTGCTCCTAGTCCTGTCCACTACAGCCACGAAGAAAAGCCCACCTCCATCCTCTCTATAATCACCCTTCAGGTATTTGAAGACTGCTTTCATATCCC